CAAACACATAAGGGTTTATTGCATACGTGTTCAAACACGGGACACAAACTTCCTGTGGAAACAGGAGAGGAATGCAGCCCCGAAGTCTAGGGGAAAAATAGTTTTTAAAGGGCAAAACCTCAAGCAAGGACTTACATGATTTGGTGTTACATGATTGGGTAAGGGAAATTGACTTTTGAAATGATTAGTTTACTTTAGGTAACAAGACCATAAGTGGTTCTGGCCTGGCCATCTGGGCCAGTTTCCACTCTAGTGGGGTGGGGAAAGAATGCAGTAAAGCTAGTTCCTTTCCCCAGGTGGCTGGACGTATCTCCATTTGCTGGCCATACCCACTAGTTTTTAATTCTTTGGTCTCTCAGGCTCAGAGAACAACATAGAAGAGGGAAAACAATTGTAAGAGGCAGAGGTAGGGGAGGATCAAAGGAAAACAGTGTTTCCTGGACATGGCAGGGCCACTGAATTCCTGAACTCACAGCAGCTGTGGTTGCCTGTCAGCATTCTAACAGGAATGCAGGAAAGGGTTCATAAGCCCCCACCGAGGAGTCACCACGAGAAAGCAGAGAGTACTGCTACTCCAGGACATGTGTCCCCATTTCCCATCTTTCCACACTGATTTCTGTGGTACTCTGGGGTAGGGAACAACAGCAGGTTACAGGAAAGAACAGGAATAGACTCCGCTGTAAATACATGAGTTTTTTTTTTGTTTGTTTGTTTGTTTTGTTTTGTTTTTTATCATATACATGTTCAAACACAGGACGCAAATCTCCTGTGGAAACAAGAGAGGAATGCAGCCCCGAAGTCTAGGGGAACAAGGTTTTTAAAGGGCAAAACCTCAAGCAGGGACTTGCTTTGGCTTTACATGATTAGGTAAGGGAGATTGACTTTTGAAATGATTGGTCCACTTTAGGTGCCAAGACCACAAACGGTTCTTGCCTGGCCATATGGGCCAGTTTCCTAGCAATGGTATAACTAGTGGTTGGACATGTCTCCACCTATCTGGCCTTAGTTCAGGCTTGTGCTTTAAACTTTAAAAAAAATAGCCACTGATTTTTAATCCTTTGGTCTTTCAATAGAACCCGGCACCCTCACCCAGGAAACAGCACCACCCACAAAGGGCTTGGCCCTTCCCTACTGATGATCACTAATGAGAAAACACCTTATAGCTGGATCTCACGGAGGCATTTCCCTTTTAATATATATTATATATACAATATATATGTAATAATAAGGAAGAGGTGTACCATTGGGAATGAGATTTGAGGTTTCAAAATATCACATTAGATTCACTGCCTTTTTCTCTGCCTGCTGCTTACAGATCAGGATGTGAGCTCCAGCAGCGGGCCTGTCTGCTTCCCTCCATGAGGATCACAGACTAACCCTAGGAAGCTGTAAGCAAGCCCTCAATTAAATGCTGCTTTAAAAAAATACGTTTCCTTGGTCATGATGTCTCTTCACAGCAGCAGACATACTCACTCAGATATGAGTGTCCTGCTATGATTTGATGTACCAGGGTGCATTGGTTCCCATGGGCAGGCTCCCCTTCTCTGAGGATTAGGGGATGGGAGATAGAGGTGTAGGTGTAGGGTAGGACTGGGAGAAGAGAGGGGTGAAGTGGAAGGTTGTCCTTTCTTTGAAGACGCAGTTGAGCCATGTCATGTTTTGCTAAAAACTACCTTGTGAGAGGGAATGTGAGGTTTTGCTGGAGGCTGGCTTTCAGAAGCTTTCTTGTGTTACAGAACCACTCTTTTCTTAATTTTTTATTTATTTATTTTTTCTGTAAGGGGTAAAGTTCCTAAAGGAACTGCCTGTTTTACCTTTCTGAGTTTTGAATCAGTTTTTGTTTTAGTGCACCCAGCTGGAGGCCTTGCTGATCTGGGTGTGTGTGGGGGGGTCTGTCTAATCAGGAAGCAGAGAGCTCCTGCCTTAGAAACTGTAGTTTCTCTCTTTTAAACAGAACTAAGAAATTTCTCTTTGCTTTTATGGCCTATGTAAGTTCTTGCTAGATTAGTGTAAATTATGTCCCGCATTGGGCGCCATTTGCTAGTTATTTTTATATTTTTATATGTGTGGTTTCTCTTAATTTCTCTCTTAATCTGGCTATCATATAAATAATTGAGACTCTTTTATATTTGTTTATGATAGGCTTCACAATACAATAACTGAGTATATATTACTTTACTTTTCTCTCTGAGTTAATTTGGTTTCCTCCCAGCATACATCTCAGGATTCTTGTACTCTGTAGCTTTACCACTTTGCACTCTCTCCCGGTTCCTCTTGGACATTTGCCTGTGGCCTAATCCCCTGGCTCAATACCGTACTTCCTCTTCTAACTCCTCCTCCCTTGGCTGGTAGGAAATCCAGCCTGATTTTCTTCCCTGCTCAGTGATTGACTGTAAGCTCCTTTATTGGCATATCAGAGGACCATTGGGGAGCAGAGTTTATACAACTTTAAGACAGGAGAGTCTCAGAACAAGGCTTGCAATCAGCACCAGGATACAGAAATCAGCATTTGAATTACACAGTAACCTTATGTCAAGGGGAGTGGAGGCAATGATTAGGCTGTAAAGTTAAAAAAAAAAAACTAAAAAAAGAAAGAAAAAGAAAAAAAAAGAGTGAAGCCAAGCCTGTACAGTTTTTTTTTAATTAATGATTGATATAGAAGAGCCCACTGTGTTTGTTGACACTGTTGGCCTTCCTGATCTATTGGGAAGCTCTCCAGGAAAGTCACAACTCTGAAGCCTAGAAAGGTATCCCAGAGGAGGTGGAGCAGTGTCCCAAAGGAAGGGTATTCTGAGACACAGGAACCCAGGAACCACAAAGCTCTGAGAGGACCTCCTCAGCAGAGATGTTACAGCACCCAGGGGAGGGTTATCCCAAACCCTGATGAGCTGAGGAGTTTAGGAGCCTGAGCTCTGCTCCTTCTTTGCTTCTTCTCTTCTGGGCTCCTTGGCTTTTTCTGATGAGAGGGTCACACTGGGCAGTAAATCTCTTAAAAGAGATTTATCAGAGGGGCGAATCCAGGATCAATGCCTCCTCCACCATCATCAGAGAAGCGTGATGGGAATTAGCACAGAGACCCACAAGTGTAGAGAGTGAGAGACTTTGGAGCACCCGGTCTTCATCAAAGCCCTCTCCTCAGGGCTCAGAGACCTATGTGGAAGAGGGGGAGGAAAGACTGTAAAAGCCAGAGGCAGTGGAGGACTCCAGACGCAACAGGAGTTATGAGCATACAGACTCACAGAGACTGAAGCATCATGCTCAAGGCCTGCACAGGTTCAAGCTGGATGGAGGTCCCAACACTGAGAGTGGGAAGTAGACATGGGCTTCCACTCCTAACCAAGAAGCTATCTGCACTTGATGCCCAACTGCAAAGGAAACGTTCCTCTTCTCTAATGGAGTCTCACTGTGTATGTCACTCGCACTTTGGGGTAGACCCCATGCTCAGGAGTAGTTGGTCAACACAAAAGGAACTCGATATTTTTGTAGACTTGTCACGTAATGCTTTGTTTGAGCATTTTTTTGTTTCATTGGTCATTTGCTTGCATATTTTGATTTCTGTCTTTGTGTTCTTTGTGTATGGGTTTCTTATTTTTGTTTGTTTTTTTAAAGAGATAGAAAGGGCTTTGAATTGGGTGTGTGGGAGGTGGGAAGGATCTGGGAGGAGTTTGGGGATGGGAAAAAGTGTGATCATAATATATTGTATGGAAAGGTTTATTCAATAAAAAGATTTATTTAGTTTTATTTTTTTCCTCTCTTTGTTTGTGGGGTGTGTGTGTGTTGGTTTGAATGAAAATGGCTCCCATAGGCCCATAGGGAGTAGCACTATTAGGAGGCCAGAGAAATGGAAAAAGTGTAGAAACAGGAGGAGGAGGAGGAAGAGAAGGAGGAGAAAGCAAAGATGAAGTGGAGGAAGAGAAAGAAGAGGAGATGGAGGAGGAGGAAGAGGAACAGGGCAATGAGGCACAGCTGTGACACCAGGACTCAGGTGCTTAAAGTTGTATTCCAACATAATTGGGACAATGGTCAAGTAAAAGGTAAAGTTCTTAAATATGGCGCTATGATCCAAATAAACCCTGCAGCTTTAAAAGAAAAGAAAAAGAAAACAGAAATGAGCAAAGAGACTGTACTACCAAGGGCCAAATGAGTGGGGTGGGAGGCAGCGGAGGCGGGTTTTTATTCTGTCCGGAGAGCATGCAGCGTCCTCCACACCAGCTGGCACACCACGACACAGACTGTCGTGCAACGGGGCGGAGGTGAGGGAGTGAAAACAGCCCTCGTGGAGATCCTGAGAGGGTTTTTCGCTTGCTTGCTTGCTTGCTTGTTGGGGACGGATCATACCTTGTCACCCTGGCTGGTTGGGCACTCAAGATCCTGCCGTCGTCAAAGTTCGAATTCTGAGGAAGGTGTTTTTTGGAGGCCAGCCTTCAGCAGCCTGAAGGTCCATCCTAAGGGAGTTATGCTCCGAGACTTCGAGTGGCAAAGCATTTTGGGCATCCTCTGTACTTGCGTCACGTAGCCCAGGCTTGCTGCTCTGCGGATCTTTTTCACAGGGGCGTACCCAGTGAGTACCTGAGAGGTTCTTGGTTCTCAGCTTCCCTAAAGCCAGAAAGCCCGAGGGCGAGCATAGCACATCTGGATTCTCCCCGCAGGGGAGCACATTTTTAACACTTGCTGGCTCGCTGAGCACTGTCGCCAGCCTGCTGTGATTGGTGCAGGAGGTCCCTTCTGGAGCATGCGCATAAGGTGTTGCTGGGCAACGACAGTCCTGCCAACTGCCTAAGAGGTGGAGGCATGCCAAACCTTGGGGCTCCTCTCTGGGTGCATCCTGGAGAGATTCCAAGACTTGATTGACTCTGCCTTGAGACTAGCCTTGGCTAAGATTGGGACCTGAAAGGTCTGCCTTATTGTGAGCACTGAGGTTGTCATCGGGAGGCAGTGAGGTGGTATAAATACTGAGTTCTGGACGGATAGAACTGGGGTGAAGGGCCACAGTCTGAGCCATGAAGAAGATCTTCAAGGGCCATTCGCCCTGGGGCTTCCTGGGCTTCAGGCATTCTGAGAGCCAAGACCCTCCCAGGTACCTCACTGGGTACACGCCTGTGAAAAAGATCCACAAGGCTGCGAGCATGGGCGACATAATCCAAGTGCAGAGGATGCTCGAATTTGGGGATGTTAACGTGAACGTTACAGACCGGAAGAAAAGGTCAGAGTGCGCAGGGTCTGGGGTGGCCGGGAACGAGGAGGAGAGAGTGGGAGCAGGGCCTAAGGAGAGGAATGCCGCCCTCCTGATCTTGGCCTCAGGAGTTGGGGAGGGAGGCTGTGGCCTGCTTTCATGGGGAGGGAGGAGGAGAGGGCGGGCAGCCGGGTGTCAGCCTTTCTCCACCACACGCTGCTCAGCACCCGAAACCTGCACACCCTGGACAGGGCTGGAGCCCGGGCATCGTCCATGAGACACAAAGCAAAAGCTAAACCTTAGTTGCTTTCCAACCCCTAACTAGTTCTGCTTTCAGAGCACGTTACTGACAATTTAAATGTGATTTCACCCACAATGTCGAGTGTACACAGCATTTTCTTTAAATGTGCACATGAAAAAGTTCATAATGGCATGGGTCCCAGGACCAAAACAAAACAAAACAAAACAAAAAACAAACAAACAAAAACACTCCATAAAATCCCGTATTCATTTTATTTCACAGTAACCAAGGAATACATGTCATTTCCTGAGGGGCCTTACGTGAAGTGTGAGGATGGCTTCACATTTGGTTTTTCAGGGTGGCCATCTTCGTTTAACACCTGCTGACTCAGCTATTAGTTCTTTTGGCCCCAAAGTGGGATAGTTTGATCAGCTTCTGTCTTCATCACACAGGCGTGGGAAGCTCTAGAGTTCCTACAAGTATCTCATCAGCTTCAGTTGCTTCCTTGATGCAGAAGCGGGTGGTTCCCAAAGGCTCGAACGTCTTTGAGACCTGAAAAGCCACGGTGCTTGCCAATGTGGCCTCTGCTTTAGGCAGAGTGTGGTCAACCACACAGTCCAAATCTTCCTTTGCAAAATTGTCCGTTGGCTCCGCCCCATGTTTAAGTGCCCTATTCCTAGCACTGCTAAACAGAAAGAAAGAAAGAAATTCAAATAGGCTCCTCTGCTTCAGAAGAAAAGCGAGGGCAGTCCCTACACAGCTGTCTTTCTGTAACGCTGTGCCATAGCTCTCAGGTTCTCTCTCACCCCTCTCTCTCTTTCTCTCTGTCTCTCAGGACTGCTCTGCATTATGCCTGTGCTCATGGCCAGTCAGAAATGGCATCCCTCTTGCTATGGTATGATTGCAACATTGAAGCCCGGGATCGTGATGAAAGCACAGCTCTGATCAAGGTAATCAGGAGCCAACAAGATGAATTAGTATAACCCCCAGATATTCAGGTGTGGGAGGCCTGTACCTCATCATGTGGGAGGCCAATGTGGGGCCTGTACCCTGCCTTAGTGAAGGCGGAGGCAGGAGGACAGGGAACCCACACAACCCTGGGATACATAAGAAAACAGTCTCAAACCTTTTATCTTGAATAAAAACGAATATCTGGCATTTAAGCGTAACTACTTGGTGAAACCCGTGGAAGGTTTTTCTTGAACTGACTGGCCTGTCCCCTTGGGATGCCCCCCACAGGCCACACAGCGCCAGCACGAAGAATGTGTAAGGATTCTGCTGGAGAAGGGTGCTGACCCAAACACGGTGGATGCCTATCAAAACGCCGCGCTCCATTACGCAGTGTACAACAACAACCCCTCCATAGCCGCCAAACTCCTGGCGTTCAGCGCGAACATTGAAGTGAAGACAAAGGTAACACCCAACATTGTTTCCCAAAAACTTGCTTAGGAGGCGCGAGCACAGGGGTGTGCGGACCATTTCCACACGTAGAAGCAGAAGTGAGAATTCCTCGATTAAAAATGGTTCGGAATAAGTTAACTGACAAAGTTTTATAGCACACAACTTTATGTATCCATAAAATATTTGAAAAAATGAACTAAAATATGTTAACTGTAAAAAAAAAATGCATGTTCTTTAAATATGTTACCAAAGGTTTCTTTAAAAATATAATTTCAATATTTGCCACAGGTTTTTTTTGTTTGTTTGTTTGTTTGTTTGTTTTGTTTTTTTCCTGATGAGAGTAACACAAGACAAGAGAACAAAATTTCTTTAGAAGCAGGCCAGGTGTGGTAGCCCACACCTTTAATCCCAGCACTTGGGAGGCTGAGGCAGGTAGATCTCTGTGAGTTTAAGACCAGCCTATCTGAGGCAGACAGAAGCGTGGTGAGACAGACAAACCAGACAGACAGACAAAGCTGTCTAGAACCAGATTTCACCACGGAGGGACCAGATAATTTGGGGGCATGTTCCCCTTTCCTGTGAGTGCTGATTAAATAAGAGCTTAAACGGCTGTCAAATCTGTCTTGCAGACGAACAATACTTTTTTGCATAATGAAGTAAGTGTGGGATTTGGCCCTCGCTCTGCAGAGGAGCCCTGCTCAGCACCCACACAGAATCTCACAACCGGCTGTAACTCTGGTTGAGAGGATCGCGCGCCCCCTCCTGGCTTCCACAGGCACAGCCTGCAGGTGGCACATTGACACACAGAGGCAAAACACCCACGCACATAGAATAAAAAGAAATACATCTTTTAAAAACACATTAAAAATATCTTCACGCACTTCTGAGTTGGCAGAACATGGTGTTAATGAAAAGAAAGATTTGCAGAAACCCCCATTGCCCCTGAGCTCTTAGCCAGAGCCACTGCAGAAAGAGGAACTCAAAGGCTGGAGTCGAGGTGAGCCAGAAACTGCGGTCCTCACCTAAACTTCAGGAGGCATCTGCAGAGGCGCCCCAAATAACCGAATCCCGCTTCCCCTGAGCCTTTGAAACTGGCGGTGGACAAGACACCACTTACCGGAAAAGCCCGTGTGCGCTCCGGTTTAATGGGGACACACCCGGCCGCTCCCTCGTGTCACCCACTCTTCCTCTGTGTGCACGGGTTTATTGCCAGCCTGGTGTTGACACGCTGTCATGGCTTCCGAGATTGTTCCCGCTAACGGACAAGGGTAATCCGGATCTATACTTCATGTCAGTCTCCCAGAAATGACTCTACGTTTCCTGGCACTGTGGACAACATGGCTCCCAACCTCGGGCAGCTCCCGACTCGCTGGGCACAGCTCCTCAGGGCTGTGCAGAACGCTGGCGGGAGCAGGGTTCGGGGACCCAGGGGCGCGGGGCCGAGCCTGGGGCAGACTGGCCTGAGCTGCGAGCGTACCGGGCTGCCGTGGGAGGTGGGGGGTCGTCCTGGGCTCTCAGCAGGGTCGCAGCTGACGGAGAAGTGGGCGGCCGCGTGAGGCGTGAACTGCTTTTCGTTTCCACAGAACGGCTACACGCCGCTTATCCTTGCGGTGCTAGAAAACAAGCAGGAGATGGTGAGACTGCTGGTTCAGTCGGCGGCCGACGTGAACGCCCAGGATAACTGCAGGAGGTACCTTGAAAAGCTCGCCTAAGTCCTCGTGACCTTCCAGAGTGTCCACAGCCAGGCCGACACGCGCGGCTCAGTGTGGGTCCGAGACCCGAACCCAGGCCCCCCGCAGGAGCAAGTGTTTCTCCGCCCTGCCATTACCACTACTGTTACCTATGTTAATAACTTTTAAAAATAGCGCAAACAGTTTTGTGGCACATTACATGGGGCCGGGGAAGTAAGGGAGACGGTCAGTTCCCCCACTTCCGGTCAGCCACGCACTTCCGGGAGACGATCTAGACCCAGCCCAGCTGGCTGCCATACAGCGGTGGCGCGGGTGGCTTCTCCCTGCTTCCTTCCGGCACTGGAGGCGACAGGGATCAGTGAATGCCGTCCTCCCGGTACTTCTGTCTGTCCTTGACTGCTGACGGCCACGCTAACACACACAGCCGGGGCAGGAACTCGGTATGGCACAGCTGAGTTGTTTATACGACCTCCTTCAAGCGTGTCAGGGAGATTGGTGGGGTGCCACGTACCTCGTCTACATAGCGAGTTACCCAGGACAACCAGGGCTATGTAGATAGTGTCTCAAAAAAAATACTCCCACAAAACTACAAACAAAGGAACAAAGAAGACGAGTGCATCGGGGTGACTTTCTGTTTGCTCCGTCAGGTCCGCCCTCATTCACGCGGTGAGAACTCAGTCTAAAAACATGATCAGCTTTCTTCTCCAGCAAGGCGCTGACGCATCTCTGGTGGACGCCTGTGGAGCGACCGCACAAAGCTACTCTGTCTTCGAAACCGTCCATTTGTAAGTGTGAATATTCACAGTGGCTAACTTCGGAATGGTGTCCTTAACAGCCAAATCTCCCCTGTAGCCAAGGAGATGTCACAGTCCACTCTGGGAAATGTTGGAGTGGCTCGGACTTAGTTGAAGTCATTCACCAGACACCAAGCAAAGGGCTATGCTAGTTTGGAGTAGCAAAGGGTACAGAGCTCTCCGGCTCAGACCTTTAGTTTGGCAGTGCTGGGCATTGAGCTGGGATTCACCAACACAAGCCCTCCCTCAGGATATTAAGTCCCCTGTCCTTAAGACGGAGCACTGCCCTTTCATTCCAATGAAAAGACCCACACATGGGGTACAAATAGCGTCCTGTCTCTAAGTTGTCTAGTTAGCTGTTTGGCTCTATTATTGTCAGATTTAGCTGGAAACGTAGTTATCTCATTCAACACCATTCTTTTTTTAATTATTTTTATTTTACGTGTATGGGTGCTTTGCCTGCATGTATGCTTATGGCTCGATTGCATGACTGGGGCCTGCAGAGGCCAGGAGAGGGTGTCTGAGTTCCTGGTACTAGACTTAGAAACAGTTGTGAGCTGTCATGTGAGTGTTAGGAATCAAATCTGAGTCCTCTGCAAGAGCAGCCAATGTTCTTAACCGCTGAGCCAACTCTATATTGCCTGGTTTTTGTTGTTTTGTTTTCAATAATTTTACATGTTTGAATCTTTTTTTTTTTGGGGGGGGGGGGGAGAGATGCCCAGTAGCTACATACAGACTGTTCTCCATTCTGACTTCTGGTGGACATTTTCAAGGCTTTTTTCAGCCGTGTCAGTTCCTGTAGTAAAAGAAAAGATAAAAGAACCAGTCATTGCATCTTCTCTTCATTCCTGAAGAGATCTCTAATCTGTGCACACAAATTACGCCCAGGTCCTCTAGGGCACTGCCTGTAAACTCTTTGCTGTGGAATCCAGAGGGAGTGTTCCTCAAACTTTTCTTAGTGGAGAGAAGTAGAAGCACTTCTCTTGCAGAGGAAACTGCAAGCTTGATTGTTTCAGAAGTTGACATAGAAACAAATAAAAAATGCCACATGGGTGGGTGAGGTGGCATATGCCTTTAATCTCCCAGCACTAAGGGGCCAGAGGCAGGTGGATCTCTGTGAATTTGAGGCCAGCCTGGTCCACAGAGTTTCAGGGCAGCCAGCATAGTTAGACTGCGAAAGAAAGAGAGAAAGAGAGAGAAAGAAAAAGAGAGGAAGGATGCAAGGAAGGAAGGAAGGAAGGAAGGAAGGAAGGAAGGAAGGAAGGAAGAGAAAAGAATGTGAGATGGCTCTGCAGTTCAGAGCATCCAGCTGTGCAGGAGGGGCTGGATTTGGTGCGGTTGGGAGCTACACTCCAAGCTACTCAAAACTACCTGTAACTCTAGCTCCAGGGACTCCAATGCCCTTGTCAGTGCACTCACATAAACATATTCACCTGTAAAACAATTTATGAATAATAGTCTTTTTTTTAAGTGCCATTTATTAGGATTCTTAACAAAACGACACTCACCTCTCACTGTGGCTTTTACTCCAAAGGCCTTCCCAAGACCTTGGTGGCAGTTGTCCTGAGCCTACGGCAAAGGAAGATAGACACAGTTTTGATGCCAAGGTAAGAGGCTCACTTGTGATGCTGACTCTCTGCCCTGGGCATTTGGGGATTTGGCTTGGTGGTGAAGTGCTTGCCTAGCTAGCACAGGGCTAGATCAAGACCTCAGCTCTGAGTGGGGGAAACTTTGCTATAAATTTAATTTTGTTGTGCTCTAACAGCAGAATTGAGGTTGAAAAAAGGCTTTAACGTAGATTTTATGCACAAGCATTAAGGCACGGAGGAGCTCGGCTAGGAACAGGGCGATACTCTGAAAGCATGGCGTGGGCCTCACAGTGAAGAGCCATACTTGTGAGTTTTGTAAATAGTCCTGTATGCAATCCTGGTGGCTTCTGAGGCAGCACTGTTCACCCATTGTGAGTGGCGCCACCCCTGAGAAAGTAGTCCTGAGGTGTGTAAGAAAATGAATGGAGCAAGGCGGGGTGGGGGTGGGGGAGCAAGCAGGTGAGCAGCACCCCTCCGTGGTCTCTGCATCAGTTCCTGCCTCCAGGTTCCTGCCCTGAGTTTCTGCCCCGGCTTCCTGGCTTCCCTGGAAGCTATGAGATGAAATAACTTTTCTCTCCAAGTTGCTTAAGTTCTCCCCATAACTTAAAGTTATGAAGTAGCAAGGAAAATAATTTTATGGTCTGGGGTCACCACAACATGAGAAGCTAAATTAAAGGGTCACAGCATTAGGAAATTAGACCACAGCTCTGGCGCCTTGTGAAGGTTGTGAATCTGGTAGGGAAGATGTTTTCATTCATGGAATCAGGATGTAGTCCCTGTTCCCAAGATCAACACTAAAGGTAATGGCCTTTTTAGCAGGAGGTGCCTGATTTCCATGAAGCTTTAGTAGGAAATCATTAAAATGTAAGGCAGAATTCAACCTAGATTTAATTTCCGAGTGTAAATCACAGGGGACCAGGGACCTATTGTCCAAGTTGTCAGGACAGCTGTGGACAGCACAATCTCATAATGGCACAAGATTTCTTCTGTACCTTTGTTAGGATCTCAAGGACCTTCTGGATTTGTAATGGGGCAGTCTTTTTCATCTTACGATTTTAAGAATGAGATTTCTTGGGTTGTGAAAACAAATACTAATGCTTATATACTAACAATAAGGCTAAACAAACATTCCAGGAAGCAATCTAATTAAAAGGAAAGTATGGTGAAGTAGGGATCATTGCAGTCTGATTACACTCCAAGAGCCTAAAAGAAAAGTACTGAACAGCTTACTTAAACCACAGCGAGCTCATAACTCTGGATAGAGTTAAAGCTGCACTTGGCTTTCTACTTGATCTGTTTCACCTTTTTTGGTGGAGGGCTTTGCAGTCTCACCTTGTTTTGCTGGTAGCTGGCTTTGCCCTTAGGCTGTTCTTGAGGCTCTGGGGACTGATAGGGGACAGGTTTTACTCTAGAATAAGGCTACACAGCTTCCTGAGTTCTCTCAGCCTGGGGATATTAGGCACTGTGTGATGATACCCTTATGATGTCAGAGGCTGTGCATGCTCCTGGCGGGGCTGCATCTGAGTGAAATCTGATGGCAGGCTTTTCCGGGACATCTCTCGGCGGCGGCTGGAGCAAGGGTGGGTCCGATCAGTAGGTTCATGTGAGGTTTGGGGCTGTAGATTGTAGCCTCTCTCTCCATCCTCCCCACCACTCCTTTCTCTCCTGAAGTCATGAATGAGAAGAATTGCTAAAGGTCTTAGGTAATATGACGCCTGGACGCCTTTCTTTTCCACTGGTCTTCCTGGGGCGGCAGGATCTTGTATTTCTCTTGAGTCCTCCTGCCATTCAGGTTCAAATCATCTGTGTCATCAGGCGGCCCATTCACCCTCTGCCTCTGTATTAGACATGCTTACATCAATTATTGCGGAGAGATATCAGGGCCGTTTCTGTATCTTCATCTACATGTCTGGGAATGTCCCCTAACTTAGGAGAGATTCCAGGTGTTACGACTTATCCAGCGCAATTCCCAAAGCGGGGGGGCTGACAGCAACCATTCCTTTAGCTTTTGGGATTCATCAACATAAGTTTCTATACAAGTTTGTTTAATACGGAGTCTTGGGTTGTTGATGAAGGCAGCGAATGAAGTGTCTACATTGAAAACTGGCATTTTCCCCAGCCATGTCAAGAGTTACCGCAAGGGTTGCAAGCAGTCATTGAGAAGCAAGGAGCTTCACTGGTTTAGTGCTCAGGGGCAGTTACCCTTAGAGCAGGAAGCCCTCCTCCCTTGCAGAGGGGCTATGCTGGGTTTTGCTGTGGACAGTCAGTTTCTGATTCCTTTGTTTTCAAAGCTGTGGCAATCTTCTCTTCTTTGTGGAGTTTTTTGAAGGAGAAGATTTTTATTTGCCTTGGGAAATGTATTTCACATACGTGATACACATATACATAAACACACGTATGTGGTTTTATATGTTACTCCATCGGAGAGCTGAGCACTAGCTGGTTTTGGCCTCTGTTCACTTGATGAATTTTATCCACAATGACTTACAGTGTGTGGGAATTTTTGTCCAGTAAGCTGCTTTTGTTTGTTTGTTTGTTTGTTTGGAGAACATGGACAAATCTAGAGAATCTAGAGGGTTGGTTTTGTCTGTTTTGATGTATGCATGTTGTGTACATGCCTGTGTAAATGCACATGCGTGTGCTATAGCATAGTAAGCCGTATAAGACATTCTTTTTTTTTAAGGTAGTCTTTAAAAAAATGATTTATTTATTTATTATGTATACACTATTCTGTCTGCATGTACACCTGCACACCAGATGAGGGCACCAGAAGATGGTTGTGAGCCACCTTGTAGTTGCTGGGAATTGAAATCTAGAAGAGCAGCCAGTGCTCTTAGCCTCTGAGCAACTCTCCAGGCCCCGACAGACATATTCTTAAAGAAGATTAAAGCATATCACTAGATCATCAAAGGGCATAAGAGAGAATATGCGATGTTCTTGTAGCATTTAAAGGAAGGGGGTGGGGCTGGGAGCTCGCAGGGCACTACCCTCCCGAACTATAGCTATCCACAGATTCTGGAGACAGGGGAATCACTGTCAAACCTACCGACCTATATGCTTGCTTGGCTTTGTATGCTTACTTGAAACAGTAGAAAAATGAAGTAAAGAAAAACCACTTTATTCTAGTGTCACGTAAGTTGATCTGTGTTCTGTACCTGCTTTTGTATTGGGACAGACAGAAAAAAGCTGGAAATTTTGACATTTATAACGGGTTCTCAAAATTCATATTACACTAGGAGTGCATTGTGTTTTCTGGGTCACCCCATTGAGAGCATGGTTGAGTCTCTTCAGCTAAGTGAATAATTCTCTAGTTCTAGGAAGTACAGACTCAATACTGTACAGTAAATGTTTGATTTCTGAAGCGTTTGGTGGTGTAGATTTTGGAGCACCCGCATATCCTCCTCGGATCACTTGCTGATATTATAAGAGCTAGAAGCCTTCTCTCGGTGCTCAGTCACTCCACCTAAAACTCCTGTGTGCTTCAGCCTGCTTGAGTTTGAGGTCCCCATGTCTGTGTGACCTAGAGCTCATGGGCTGCTCTTATGTGTTAGAATCCTTTCAGTATTTTTGTGTCCCCACCTGCGGGACTTCAACGGGTTCCTAAAGAAGATAGTGGAAGGAATGGGGGGGGGGGGAGAAATGCAAGGAATGGAGGCCAAGTCTGTTTGTCTGATCAAAGCCTCGTTTATTAAAAAATTTTACCCGACTTATATAGGGAGAAGGCAGGAAAGGGAGAAGGTTAAATTACTGCTGCAAGAGATAGCAAGAGTGCTTTCATGGCTTGAATATTGTACCAGCAAGATACCGTAAGGATGTTTTCTTAGATACCTCATGGATGCTCTAAAACTAACATACGGATGTCCTCACAAATCTATCACCCATGATTTAGGGTCCTAGGTAACTCTTTCACTAAATAGCTTTAGGTCTCCACTAAATGACTTTTGCTCACTATTTGGCTTTAGTAAATAGCTTTGTCTCCACTAACTAGCTTTGGCTCACTATTTGACTTTGGTTTCAGTAAATAGCCTTGGCTCCCGGCATTTTTGAATGTGAATTAACAACTAGCCAATTGAATTTCTGTAGTGTAGATTTTTAATTAATCAATGTGGATTGTCCTAGTAATTTTGCATCAAAATTTCAAAAAGTCTTCTTAATGTTAAAGACGTAAGTTCAAATGATTTCTTTTGAGGTACTACATCATAAATAAATAGGCAACACACCAAGGAGGCAACATGACCAGGAAAGAAGGCTTAAAGACTGTTCCTAGTGTCCCTCAACCCTGATCATAGGCTAGGAATGCAGATTAGCATTTCTTAAACTTTGTAAGCCATGCCTTCTGTTCATTGAACACATCTTTTCACAATGCACTTTCTTCCTAGAATTCTGATTGCCATGTTTTTTTGTGGAATGTGGAAGTACTAATTTTCCAGTTTGTGTTTCTGCCTATTAGAAATGTCACAGTTTTTAGACAGCCCTGGTTGGCTAACAGAATCACTTTTTTTATAGCAATTAAATGAATGTCTTCATTATGTGGTAATTACAAAAAGGTTATTTAAGGCATAAGAAAAGTATTAGCAGTGTATTAACCAAGGTAAGATATTATTGAAAGACAAGTTTCTGGATTTTTCCTAAGAAGAAGAAACTCCTGTAAATGTAAACCATGCAAGCGCATTAAAACATCTAACAAGAAGATCCTTTACATTTCCACAGTGTCCCAGCCGGAGCGTGGGTGCCAGGTGTTGGCACCAGGGGTCCTGACACCGTAAATGAATTGAATTAAATGAATATTTTCCATAACCTTGAGAGAGTGTTGACATCACTGGAAAGTTCTTCACAGTGTGTGGCCCTGAAACTTAGCTTCCTTGACTCTAGACTTTTGCCTCAAAACCCTGGGCAGAGCTGGGTGGGCGTGGTCGGAGGACTACAGGAAGCTGGAGCAGCTGTGGGCTGGCGCCTCTAAGTGAGGCCTGTTGAAGCCCTGTTGAGGTCAATTCCGGTTCCTCACCCAGAGGGCAACGCTTCAGAAGCCAGGCTACCACCACCCTGGGCTAGTGTGTCACCAAGGGCAGGAATCTCTCAACAACCTCGGGCAGGGAGCAAGTCAAAGAGCACCAGCTCAGCAAGCCCGTGCTTTAATGGAAACACGCGCCATGATAAATGCGATAGAATGAAAGTTCCAGAGTCAGAGGCGGGCTGAGGTGGGGTGGGGCCAATGAAGACAGTCTTGGAGAGCCCCGCGTGGCAGCACTGGTCAGCTGGCGCTTGCTCAGCAGCGGCAGCATCTGGAGGGAGGAGAGAGAGCCCACGCCCAGAGTCGCAGGTTTGTTCCTAAGATGACAGAGCAGTTGAGAAATACGGAATTTGATGAGCTCTTGGCTTTCTTCTTTTCTCTTTTAGCAGGATGGCTGCATAGCATGTTCACACCCATTCAAGAAAAACGGGCAAAGGGTGGCAGAGCTGCCAGCAGAGGAGGAGGAAAACCTAGGCGGGGTTGACCAGCTGGAGAGGTACAGCTGCTTGTGCATTGCTTTAGTTGAAACAAGCTTGGAGCGGGGGTGGGTTCGGGCTGGCTACAGTAGCTCAGGAACATTAAACTGGTAAGAAGAAAGTCATTCGCAAAACCACGCCAGCAAAGCATGAGTTAATCAGAACAGCAATGATTTGGAGTAGGAAAGACAAGACAACCGCTTGCAATGATTAATGCTCCCCTCTAAATCTGCCTGGTATTTGCGCTCTGCAGCTGACTCTTCTTCACAAGAGCTTACACCAGTGAAAAGGTCCAAGGGTTACGCCGGTTGTATAAAGAACAGTCTTGCGTTGACTGATTCAGCTTTGCAGTTCATTTTCCTTGACCTCTCACACATGCGTCCTCCTACAGCTGCCATTTTAAATACAAATTAAAGTTGAAATGATTTGGGATGTCTATGCTTGAATTTTTTTCTTTTTAAAGAATGTTGACACTATGTTGTTCCTGAGTGGCTATTAATTATGAGATCATTTGATCATATCAGATTTTTCTTCCTCTGACCATGTATTGGTAGGAAGAAAAATCCGTTTTTTATATAAAGAAGTCATACGTATGTGATAAAAGAAAAGATTAGGGCTTCGTTCCTTACTTTCCCATTTGCTGGGTGTGTGACTTGGGACCGTTAATAATGGCCGCTGTCATTCCTGTCACAGGGGAGGGTGGTGCATGCGAGGCAGGCTGCCAGAAGGCAGAGCTTCCTTCAGCGCCTGCCTAGTCAGCACGCACATGCACGCACACGAACCCATGGTCAATGACTTGTACAATAACTAGTGAAAACCCTTCAGATTAATAAAAAGTAGGCTGCAGTACCACAGGGAGCCGGGAGGCTTTCTCTTCAGTCTGTCTCTGTTTATAGCTTTGAAGGCAATTTGCAAGAATGACTACTTGAGCTCCCAAGCCGTTCATCCTGTTCCTATATGTAAATTTTCAGGTCTACTGGGACAGCTAACATACTGCTAAAATAAAACAAAATATAGCGCCACATGAACAGACTGAAAGACAAAAACCACATGTTCATCTCATTGGATGCAGAGAAGGCCTTTGGCAAAATCCAGCATTCCTTCAGGATAAAAGTCTTGAGACTAGAGATACAAGGGGTATACCTCAACGTAATAAAGATGATTTACAGCAAGCCTAGAGCCAGTATCACCCCCAATGGAGTGAAACTCAAAGCAGTTCCACTAAATCAGGAATTCCCCCTCTGTGTAGCTACCTAGTGTAGTGCTTAACGTCTTAGCTAGATGCAACAAGACAGCTGATGGAGATGAAGGGGATACAAGTAGGAAATGAAGGACTTAAAGTACCCTTATTTCCAGGTAATATGACTTTATACAAAAGGCCCGAGAAATTCTACCGGGAAATTTCTACAGCTAAGAAACACTTTCAGCAAAGAATCAGGATACAAAATTAGCACATAAAAATCAGTTGCCTTATGTCTCAGTCAGGATTCCTATTGCTGCACTGAAACACGAAGACCAAAAAGCAAACTTCCACATTGCATTTCACCATCAAGAAGTCAGGACATGAATGCAGACAGGGCAGGAAGCTGAAGGCAGGAGCCATAGAGGGATGCTGTTTACTGGCTGGCTCAGCCTGCTTTCTTATAGAACCCAGGACCACCATCGGAGGGATAGCACCACCCACAATGGGCACAGCCCTCTCCCATCAATCACTAATTGAGAATATGTTGTTATTATCACTTAAAAACAGCCAGATATCATGGAGGCACTTTCTCAGTGAGGGTTCCTTCCTTCTGGATAGGCTTTGTTTTTGCCATGTTGACATAAGACTAGCCAGACTGTGTACAAATGATAAATGGACTGAGAAAAAAAACGACGAAAGCAATACCTTTATTAATAAGCCTCAAAAAAATCTTGGGGTGACTAACCAGACAAATGAAAGACTTGTATAATAAAAGTTTCAGTCATTGAAGAAGAAAGAAATTAAAGAAGACCCCAGAAGATGGAAAATTCCCCATGTTCATGGATCAGTAAAATTAATATAGTGAAAATATTTTTATATTTTGTCAGTGTGTTAGCTGTCCCAAAAGCAATCTACAGATTCATCACAATACCCACCAAAATTCCGACACAGTTCTTCACAGAAAAAAAAAAAAAAACATTTTCGAGTTCATATGAAAACACACACACACACACACACACACACACACACAAAACAAACAAAAACCCAGGACTGCTAAAACAATCTTGAATAATAACTGCTGGAGATATCACAACCCCAGATTTCAAGTTGTACTATAGAGATGTATTAGTAAAAACAGCATGACATTTGCACAAAAGTGGACATGTTAATCAATGAAATTGAATCAAGGAACCAGACATAAGTCCGCTCAGCCGAGTTTTGACAAAGAAGCCAAAAACACACACTGGAGAAAAGACAGCATCTTCAAAGAATGGTACTGGTCAACCTGGATGGCTACACGGAGAATAATGCAAATTAGATATTTACCACCCTGCACAAAACTCAGCCCCAGATGCCTGAATCTGATAGGAAGAAAGTGGAAATAGTCTTGAGCTCACTGGCACAGAAGACTTCCTGACAGGACATTGATAACACAGGCACTAAGATCAGTTTCATGCAACTGAAAAGCTGTATGGCAAAGAACAACAACGCTCAGGCAAAGTGACAGGCTACAGAATGGGGAAGAAATCTCTACCTATTATACATCTGACAGAGGTCTAATTTGATAGGGGAAATGGTAAAAGGGGGAATCTTTCAAGGGGGAGGGTGACAAATACAGAAGGAGAGAGGAGGGTAAAATAATATGAATGTCTGAAAAGGTGACAAGGAATCATACTATTAACCATTTACCCCAAAACCCTATAATATATTCTCTCTCTCTCTCTCTCTCTCTCTCTCTGTGTGTGTGTGTGTGTGTGTGTGTGTGTGTGTGTGTGTGTAGTTTTAATGCACTTTTCTCATCTGGGTGTTTGGCACATCCTCTAAGAGCCAAAGACTACCAAGCAAAAGCCCCCAACAGACATGACAAGCCCCCTTGAGCTGTTGGCCAGGGATGTCCGAGCAACTCCATTGCTACTGCCCATGGTTGTGCCCCAGAGGTGGAAAGTCCTTACTGCTGAAGACACTATGCACTTCAGAATCAGGGACCAGAGATCCCTGAAAGCCTCCTCCCTGAGCACTAGCTTTAACACAACCAGAAGGCACGATGCAAGCTTCCAAAGGAGGGAGATAACAGACAGTCCTACCTAGCTCTGATGCCTGTGAATAATATCAATCACAATTATAGCATGATAACCTCAGTGCTACAGTAGTGGCACACATACCTTGGTGGTAACAGATCTCTAATTGGGCTTAAGACCCTATCAACAAGAGGGAGATCATGCCTGGTCCTGGAAACCAAGCCAACTACTGGTGAAGTCATGGATCTTGGAAGAGAATCTACAACCATCACCTTACTAAACCAGCACAACCCCTAAAATCACAATCTATAAACATTTGTCCTTATACCAACAGATAAATACAGTCTTCACCTCTCAGTAGGAAAACTTCTTTTTCCAACTGATGGAGACCACTACAGAAAAATCACAACCAATGAAAATGCAAAGTTGTGCAACTCAGTCCCAATAGATACGTCTCTGAAATAAGCTCTGCACGTAAAGCTCTGGGAACAGTGTGCAAGATGGGGTGGAATGATCATCAGAGCCAGAGGGTCAGGGAGTTTGCTTTGGATTGTGTCTCCTAATAATGTCAGAAGCCACATCGATAAAGTCCCACCAATGTGACCACCAAAACATGAGCTGAAGAAGGACGATGGCAATCGACAAGCCAAGGTGGACAGGGAAAAGACCATGAGTCCTCACTCAACCTCATGAGGAGCCATAGGCCACTGAGTAAAGCTGGGAGCAAGAAAGGTAGTCTTCCCCAGGGAAGAGCCCAGTAAGTAATTAGTCCATTGCCAAATAGCCAAAGTGGTCAGCCCTGAAGACATTGACACAAGTAACATTAGTGTTAGAAGGGGGCAGGTTATATGTAGGAGACAGAGAAAAAAAGAAACAGAAGAAAAGAGAGAGAGACAGAGTGTGTGTGTGTGTGTACAATAACAATGAAGTAAGAGGTCATGAATTTGAAGGAGGATGGGAGGGGTATGTGTAAAGGTTTGGAGAGAGTAAAAGGGAGAAATGTTGCAATTATCTCAAAAAAATTTTTTTTAAATATAAAAAGAAAAATTGTGAGCTCTCATCTGTTGTTGCTGCTAGCATGCCTCCATCTGCCATCATGGACTCTAGCCCTCTGAATCTGTATCCCATTAAGCACTTTCTTTTACAAGCTGCCTTGGTCATGGCATTTACCACAGCAACAGAAAAGTAAGGCCAGGAGCCATGCTCTAAGCAGCTGGCTAGGTCTCCCAGATGGAGCCTCATGCACAGCACACAAACTCACTGTTCTCCACACCCCAGACCTCATGCAGAATCCACATTAGCCTATGCATCCACGGTGACATGGATGGTGACATGGCATCCATGGTGGTGGGCGTCCACGGAGACCGTCTCTGGGGGACTCCTTTGCTGTGAGGTTCAGACGGTGCTGCAGGAAGAGTTTCCTTCTGTGAAAAAAAACAAAAAACAAAAAAAAACACCCTTAAGTCTCAGGTGGTGGGGTTCCCGCTGTGCCCTTCTCCAGGGTAGCTCAAATGACCTGCTGTACATGTAATGGCTCACTCCCAGGATATGTGCCTTTCTTTCCCACTCGTCATGGAGACTAAGCATCATTGTGTGGGGTATGCTCGTGGGTGCTTATGTGTGTGTCAAGAATTTGGCCTGGTATGGCAGGACATGCCTTTAATTCCAGCATTCAGAAGGCAAAGGGAGGTAGATCTCTGAGTCCCAGGCCACCCAGGGCTACAAAGTGAGACCCTTTCTCAAAATAACCAACTAGCCAAACAAACCAACAATGTGGTTAAGTGTGACGGAACAGTAGTAGTCCCCACTACTCAGATCT